TCCTGGATGGAGCCGGGCCGCAGCCAGGAAACGTCATCGCCGTCCTGAGAGAGAGAGAGAGTTGATCTGACCACCGGGAAAGTGGAGAGATGACGGGAAATGACGGGAGAGACGGATGGGAAAGAACGAGCGGCAGAGGTTCCCAGTGGGATTCTGCCGGGGACTCGTGAGTAACCCGGGGTGACCAGCGAGCTCGACGCGGCGGCGGCGTCCTTACCTGGCGAACGAGGCTGTTGGTGGTGGTGTCTGAGGAGGTGCTGCCGTCGGAGCCTTTGAACCGGCTTTTCCTTCGAGCTCCTCTGCCATGTGACTGAAGAGAGAGGGAAAGAAATCGTTAAGGAAGAGGTCCACCTCATTTCCGGCTTAAATTTATTGTTTTCACAAAACCTCCCGAATGCCGTTCTCCGAAAAAAGGGATTCCCGCGGTTTCTTACCGATTGGCAACCACAGCATCACATTAGTATTTATATTTATACATTATTTATTCAGAAGAAATGCCTTAAAATATCTAAAAGTCTAGATCTGCATCTGGAGCCTAATGACTTTATGGGTATCTTTAATATCTTTGCGAGAATTATTGGGGTTTTGCCGCCCAAATCAATCAGTAACTAATAATGATTCTGTCGATGTGAAAAACAAATGTTTCCCCTCTCACTGCACACAAATAAGATCCTAAAATGGGCTTGAAGATAATGTGAGGCTGTCCTCTCGGTTAAGTACGTCTCTCTGTGTTTTATTTGAAGTGTGATATTAGGACAGGTATCATAGAGAAATGGTTACGTCGTGCGTGGTCTCTAATACGCAACCTGATACGATGAAGGTGTGGAAAGCGAAATAACTCACAACTCGGCTCGAGTGCTCACACAGCGCGTGTTGCTAGTGGCAACTGAGAAAAAGAAATTCATATGAAATCTGCTTTTTATTCCAGCCCGTTATTCGCGCTCATGAAAGAGACGTTCTGACGGTTTCTTAGGAACCCGAACAACAGTTTGAGCTTCAAAGAAAGTCTGTGGACACAGGATGAGAAGACTTAAGTTCAAAAATCATACTATACATGTAGGTTTAGTTACAAGTACATTTACTCAAGTATCATTCTTAAAAACCTTTGCTTTTATATTTCATGCAAAGGGGAAATAATGCACTTTACTGTTTTTAATCAAAAGTCACTTAGTTTTCATTTAAAATATCTGACCAGTTTTTGAAATATGATATAATGACAGAATTGAAACACTATATTTGTTCAAATTAGATTTCCTTGAAAGCTGTATTCTGTACTTAAGGGTTTAAACACATTTTTTGTAACTTTAAAAGTAGAGAAAATACCAAAGCTGCGATAGAAAATGATTGAAGTAGATTGACCCATTCGATCCGCGTCTACAAAAGACATTACGTCATAAAAACTTCATTTAAACCCAGCAGCCCCCCCCGCGGGGACGAGCAACGCGGTCAGGTGAGCTGAGTTCGACCTGCTTTTAACGACTCCAGCAGACAAACTGTCTCCTCGTTCTTCTTCCTTTAATTCACTTTGACTCACGTGAAGCATCGGAAGCTCCGGCGGCTCCATGTGGCGCCGCTGCGCCGCCGCCGCCGCGCTGCTTCTCCGACTGTTATTGACGACCATTATCGCGCCGTTTGGATAAATATTCAGCAGGGCTCTCCGGTTTGGCCGCATGCAAAAAAACACCAGTCAACGGCATTTTGAAGTAAAACAAAAAATAAAAAATAAAAAGAAGAAGAAGAAGAAGAAGCCCGTAAAGTGAGTTTAAAGGAGACGAGGAAACGAGGCGCCGCCGGAGCCGAACTGTGCGCCGCCAAGCTTCAAAGTTTCCACCGGGCGGGTTTAAAGGAGGCGCCTGTGCGCGCGACACCACCGACAGAAGCAGGGGTGGTGTTTTTTCTTCTTCTTTCTTTTCTCCTCCTCCGGTTGAGATGATGCTGTGATGATGATGATGATGATGGTTTGAATGCACCGAGCCTCTTCATCAGTGTCCTCCTACTGCACCGAGCCGCCTCTCCGCCTTCCGTCGGCACAGGAAGAGCAGAGAAAAGACGCACGCTTTTTTTTCACATTAGAGGCGCACAAAGCAAAAAATGGAGGTTACTTTTCCCTCTACACATTTTGCATGCAGCTAAGAACAAGTAGTTGGTGGAAAAATAGATAAATACGCATATGAAGTATCAATAAACATGAATCTATGGACTGCAAACAGGAGAGTAGTTGATTTATGGGATATATATATATATTACAAACATAGACACTGTATATGTCATTTATTTGACAATGATGACGTCTATATGATTAAACAAACTGTCAAATGGGTCATTTATTAAAAAACATTGCCACTCAAAGGGAGATTTTGAGGCTCAAATAACGTCGCTATTATTAGATGCGACTGATTGCAGGCTTTGAATTTCAATGACTCTGAAATCAAGGCAGTTTTACTGGAAGCTGTTGACGTTTACAACAAGAAGGCCGATCGTGGCATTATGAAACGTCAACAATAGGAAGATATAATAAGACTGACTGCATTTAGCTGCATTGTTTCTGTCAGTGCTTGTACGGCAACATCAGGCTAGAATATACATTGATCTTCAGCATCAACATCATCATCGTCACCACCATTAACCAACAGCTGTAGATTTAAGTGGTACATTTACATTAACGTAACTGAGGCAGTGCTGGCCCCAGTGGAGCTGTCCGTACCTGTTCAGGTGAGCTCCCCACAAAGGTGAAGGAAAGGTTCCACGTCTCGGTTGTGATTCACATCCTTGTAAAAAGTATTTGAGGTTTGATAATTGAAATGAATAAAACACAATACGTCTGCACAACTTCCTCAGACCACAGACAGCGCTGAAGTTTAGTTCTTTATTATTGCCCTCTAGTGGTTCCATGTGCTTTGACTTTCTGAAGGGCCACTGATTTCACTCATTAAAGTCAGATTGCTGCTCATTGTTGTCAGTCAGCCCGTGGAAACGGTTCAATGACGTCTTCTGCTTTTCCAAGGTCTGAAAAATAAATAAATAAATAAAGTGTTGTCTCGCTAAATCCTAAAACAGAAAGCTCGCTTTACAAACTGCGCAGTGTTTGAAAGATGTGGGTTTCAAATGAAAAGAAACTGTGGTGTTGCATTGTGGGAAATGTAGGATCCGGTGTTTTGGCACCAGGGATATCTGAGTCTCTGCTGCGGCAATGTAGTTTATATATCAGAAAAACATCTCTCTCTTGCAAGTCTCCCCAGTTTACAAAAGCACCCTGTTCAAATGATGCAGTGCTCCGCAGTTTTTAGCAAAATAATCAAGAAACTCACATTAAAAAATAGTCTACAACTAAAATCCCACATTATACGTTGAACCCGGGTGTTTTTGTGTGAGAACAATCACAGGCGCACAAAAAAAAGGGCTTCCGCCAGATCTAATCCGAGGGAACTGGAATTTGTTTTTGGTCTGCCTCTTGGCAACGTCCCATCGTTTCTGTGTGTTCTGTTGCCCCGACGACCTGCTGAACTCTTCTTGTGACAGGTCTCTGATGAGCATGTGAGGATACTCAGCGTTCGCACCATCTTCCTTCCTCCATTCCGGCAATTGAAAAGATGCACACATGCCAAAATAATTCCTCTCTGGTGCAAAAAAAAAAGAAAAGAAAATGTACACACACACACACACACACACACGCACACTCACACATACATACCAACAGGCCAGAAGCTTTTCCTGCTAATGGGGTTGGTATTTCCAAAATAACAGCAAAATTGCTAGAATAAGAGAAAATGCAGCAGACTTCCTGCTATTGTTTGAAAAGCACTCGGGAAGCCACAATAAGTGGTGTCAGCTTTTTCTGACGCGATGGCCAAATTGTCTGTAAACACAATAATCGGCGTGCAATTCGTGCAATGAAACTAATCCCCAACATGAATAAGAAAAAAAGGCTCGACGGCTGTTTGTTTAAATTACACAGAAACGTGTTGGATGCTGACAGCACCGGGATTTAATCACAGCAAGCTGATTAAAAGCAGAAAAAAAAATCTTCTCTTGAACCCACTCATTCTTTCGACATCACAAATCCAATTTTATGTACAAATAAGTTGATTTGCTGCATTTCATTTCTCTCATTGTGCCGATGCGTTCGCCGCTCCTCTTCCTCCACCTCCTCCCGCAGGCCGCTGAAGAGCGTGTGCGCTGTGTGGGCTCCGGAGTATCTGTCTTGCACAGCGAGCGTTAGTCATCCAGGTTGGTGGATGAACACGTAGCTCAGGTGGGTGGAAGTGCCCTAATATTGGATCACAGAGAGGCCTCAAAAAACAAAGAACAATGCCTCTGAGATGAGAAGCTCAAAGAGAGCAGCGTTTCTCTAAACAGGAATTCAAAAATAAATGTATTTCAGGGCAGCTTATTCCTTAACAAGGAGTGCTTAGTCCATTCTTTGCTATCTAATATAACAGTTTCCCATTAAGCCAATCGTGTTTTGCATAATAATAGTCGTTTTTGTGTTTTTCTAATCATTTCTGTCACAATATCTTTTCCTGAAAAGGACTAAATCCACTGGTTCATATATTAATGACTAAATGGATTTCCTCAGCATGAATGGCTACTTTGAAAGACGTGTATTTATACAGAGGGTTGGATGTACGATTAAAGAAGGACTGAAAATATAAATGATCCTTTTAAGATGTGTCTTTTGTGGGTCTCCAAATGGTTCAGGGGCAATAATAAACTCCCACATGTCAGTTTTATCAGAATGCATTCATTTTACCAAATTACCCTTTTCTCCATTTGTCTTATTATTAGTCAAAGTTGTACAGTTCCTTCAGTAAACTTCTTGGCAGATAAACTTGGGAATGATGCAGAAATTGCGAGCCTGTAAAATGAAGCCAAATACCCAATTCAATATATAACCTGAGAAACGGCACAGAATCCTGGTCATGGACTCGATGTCTTTTTGACTACACGTTTCCTCATTAGTATATAGACACTGATATGAAATACATGCAAAACAAAACACGTGAATTTACAAAACTTTATATTTTGCTTGTGAGGAATGCTTGATTTGGTCTAATGCAGCATACATATTCAATAGAACAAAATTGTACTAGAATCGGCCAAATAAGGTCATTTTTAGAGTATTAAACAATTAACTGTCTAGATTCCTATCATACAAAAATAAATCATCAAGTATAAAAAAAGAGAAAGGATTCATACAGCTAAAATACAATTACCATCCAGTGCTGAGACTACAACATCATGAACGACTCGCCCGTTTTTTACCCCACGACTCACGTAAGCGGCATTTACAATTTGAGTTTATGTTCAAAGAGTGCGAGGAGCAGGAGACAGGCCCAACCCATCAGCAGGCCGAGGTTCTGCAGGAGGAACATGAGGCACGGCCTGTCGCTCTGCACTCGAGTCATCTCAGGAAGCTGAAAGAAAGACAGCGGAACTAAAATAAAAACGGTTTGGACAGTGATTGAATCGAAAAGAGGGTTATTTCTTTCTTTTTTTTAAACTGTCATTGTTTTAAATTATCTGTATTGTTAAGAAATCCTATAAAAGTGTTTTCATTCATCACTGGAGAAGTGTTTTTGTTGAGGACCGATATCAGCTGCACATTATGCGATGCTTAGTGGCAGTAAGTGGACCTTTCATTTTTGAGCAATACGGTACATGTGGGTCTGAACAAGAGGTCAAAGGTCAGAGGTATTACAAGCTAATTAACCTTAAGGACTGTATCTGGTTTGTTGGTATCAGAGGTATAAAGTATAACAGGATCATTTAATTTCTAGACAATAGCAGAAATGTCTAGTAAAACAAGCCTATATCTTTAAACAAGGCTCCTTTACCATTTCCACCAGTGACAAGTAGAGGAAAATCCCAGCAGTGACGGCGAAGATCCACCGCTGCACCTCCATGTCTGCGGAAACAAAGAGGCCGATGTAGAGCCCCATGAAGGCCGTCAGCGCGCTGAGGAGGTTCATCAGCACGGCCGTCTTCACCGAGAGTCCCGAGCTCAACAACACGGCAAAGTCCCCTTTGAGACGGAAAGTAGAACATAAAGAGGAAGCAAAAAGTCGAGCTCGGGGTGTTTCCCCCCCCAAAAAAACCAGCAACGACGAAAGCGCTCCCGAAGCCGCGGCCCGCTCACCCATCTCGTGCGGGATCTCGTGGCAGAGGATGGCCACGGTGGTCGCCATGCCGGTCTCGGGCGAAGAGGAGAAGGCCGCCCCGACGACCAGGCCGTCGGCAAAGTTGTGGAGGCTGTCGCCCACGGTTACCATCACAGCCAGCAGAGGAACCCCTCGTCCTGGGCACACAAAAGTGGAGTCTGTGTGGCTGAAGTTCGTCCTCATAACCGCGACGAATGCTGCGTCGCGCCAGGCGACCGGGTTACATTGTGCATCGCATTCATCTGTGTTGTGCGGCTCGTGTTTGAGGGACATTACTCTGTGGTGGAGGGCTCCTTCTGTCAACGTGTTCAGGTGACGCCTCTGCACTCTCCAAGTCGTCCACTGGTCCCTGCAGGGTGAAGATAATTCTTTGTTTCGACCTTTGATTCCAATTTGAGAAATTTGGACGAGTGCACAAGTTGCATGAAGGGGAACCAGATGAGACAAATTCAACCGTACAGGATATTTTTATGTAACAAAGATGGTTTTAAAAAAAGGTCCATTTCCACGTGAGTGACCCGTCTTTGTGTCCGAAATGTTCTAGTTTTCAACCGTGTACACAACACGGGGACGGAGTCCTGAATGATTCAATACTTCTCATTCTCCTACATCCTACATGCCCGTGTTGCTTCACTCCCTCCCACACCGCTCCTCAGCGCTTGTTACATAAGAGCAGCAAACAGGAAAATCGATTTAAGTGAATTCCCAGTCGGGGCTTTGAATTCGAACACGGATTCCATGGATTCTTTTGATCCTGTGTGTGTTTTACGATAGATTGTGCCATTGATTTATCCCGTTTGTGTGTGCAGACTAAAAATGGTGCTGTTCTCCTATATCGACAGTGTCCTGTCAGCTAATCTCCACTGTTTATAACAAGTGAATTAATGCTTCCTTCGTGCTTGGCTGGAGGAGTAGTGTGGGAGTGAATGAAAAATATTGACTTAATAACTCCACAGTGTGCCATGAAATCAAAAAGATATTTTGTATCAACGTAGCTGCTGCCACAGCTGCCTAGTTGATGCCAGTTTATAATTAAAATGAATTTGTCTTCCCTTATTATTTTGATGTCATATTATATATACATATATACCACATACAGTAAGCACCAGGGCTCAAAAAAATATCTCGCTCTCAGTAACAGCAGACAGTAAACTAAGAAGAAAGAAGAGAAAAGACCAGCTATCCGTCCAGCTTGTGACACAGCACATGCTTGATCACCCACAACTGCAAGTTGGAAATGAGGGGAACAATCGTAACACCTTACAAGCACTTGGTATGTTTTTTTGGGACGGTTTTAACATCTCGCTGTTTAACTTCCAGTAACGGCCTTGTCATGTTCCCCCGTATCTCCTCTAACAAGTACATAACAGGGGTGATGACGGAAATCAGGCCTTTCTGCCAAGAACAATGTTTCTGTATGAGACTCACCAGCTGTATGGTGGAGATGGACTTGCCCCTCTGTGACTGGCCGTTGCAGTTGAGCTCCAAGGGAAGGTCACTGTGACCCTGCAGACAAGAGAAAGTCACGAGCAGCTCAACAATCTTTGCATTGCACAAACTCCTTCTACGTCTGGCTAAACGAAATCAGCCAAAGAATCATTGAATCGTTGAAGAGCTGCAAAAACCAAAACGCTCACGTGGCCACGAGAAGACGAGAAAAGGGAAAAGATTCTCTCAATGAGGAAGAAGCCGTAGATCCCCGCGACCACGGCCAGAATCCTCCACAGATACTCTTTCTCTTCCGTGGAGTGTTCCTCATCGTGACCGTGAGTGTCACGGTGGAGGCCGAGGACCTCCATAGGAGACAGAGAGGAAGACAATCAGACATTTCCCCCACAGTCGACCCCCGAGTCCCTTTGTGCATGCGCGGTGACGCACTGGCTCTGTGTTCTATACCTGCGGTAGGAGGTGCAGGAGTGCATCTCCCGAGAGGGTTCCCACCGCCAAGCCCACAAACAGCTGCAGGATGAGCGTGAAGGTTTCCTGGCAGGAGTTGAAGAAGATCAGGCAGATGCCGAGCATGGAGCCCACCGTGATGAGCAGGACGGCCGCCGTGCTGTAGCCGTACCCTGCAGGGGAGCAGGGACGCGTGTTTTTCCATATCAAGGTGATCATATTACAACATTAAATAAAAGAAAACACCAGTCTGAACACCAGGACCATTAACACGTAATCCCAGCTTTTTATTGGGGAGGATCCTTTGCTTATTATTAAGTTTCATTATTGTATCATTTTTTTGTCTTTTGTAATAGTAAACCATTACGATTACTGAGTCACAAAACGCGTTATTATCTCCGCCAGTCGACTCGAGGTGCCAAGTTGCGGCTGCTCGCTGAGGGACCTCCAGCTGCGGTGACTCCCACTTCATCGCAACACATCCTGACGCCTGCTTTTCGTGCTGCCGATGGCTGATTCCTCAATCACTACTCTTAACCTGTCGGGCCAGCCAGGGATAACACAGCTCAGTGCGTCTGTGGTTCAAACGTCTTACTCTCAAGCGCGGTGGGCGGAGATTCTCTTCTGTTCCGCTCCGCAGACTCGCAGGCATTGCCTAGCAACTGCTGAATGATGGCAGGGCACATTTGCCTGAAGTGCTCCTTGGAAATTGGTGATTGAGGATTCAGGACGAAAATATCCAACATCTGATCGGCTGAATAACACACCTGATTAGATTGAAAGGCAGAGAGAAATTGGTGGATGAGTGTCAGGATTATTGAGTTACGCCAACATTGCTAGAAAACCCGTCATTTGCCTCAGCCTCACCTGGGCCCAGTCCCTGGTTATTCCACCAGTTTCACGGTTGCAGGCAGCCGCCGGGGGCCCGCCCCCTCTCTGGGAACTCCGCCTCTTCCTGTTGTGAGAGTGTGACGCTGCTTCCTGTCCCACTCCCAGCTGATGAAGCAACTCCTCCAAGTCTGAGCAAAGACATCACAGCATTGTGATACTGTGCAGCAGGCGAGATTCTAATAATGTCTTTATGGGATTTAAAAAAAAAAAAAGCAAATGTCAGCCTAAATGTGCAAAGCGGGCCAACTGTGCTCTTGAACTCACCTTTTACCTGCAGGTCCCTTGTGCAACTCAGGGACTGGAAGATGTAGTCGGTAAAGAAAGCAGGAGACGGGAGGCTGCTCCGTCTGAAGCAGTGTCCCTGCAGGACGTGGCTGATGATGGCGGCCGCCAGTTTGGGCACAGAGGAAACACCAGCACCTGCACTTTCATGGACGTTGGCATCCTCGAGGAGGTGAGCGGCATCGACACACTGCGGAATCAAATGTTAGCTCATCATGACCCAAGGGTGCGCTCGGGCGAGACGGGGCGGGTTTCCTCCGATAGAAATTCCTTACTTGCAAATCAGCCGAGGCATTTTGATTGGAGGGCTCGTAGTGCTCGTTAATGAGCTGCAGAATACTTTCTGCTTCTCTGGATGATAAGAAGAGGTTGTTCTCAGCAGGGTGCAGATTGGTGAGGGCCAAAAGGTAGAACTGATAGTTCTCAAAGGACAAGGAGGAGGAGGATTTGGCAGCGTTTGACACACAAAGGTCTTGCAGATTAATTATGTAGTACAGCAGAACGGTGGAGATCCTGTGGTAGTCCTCCTCGGTGATGTAAGCTGTCCCATCATCCTCCAGGACAGAGAGAGCTACTTCTGAGGTCAGGCACTGTGGCAAGTACGGGAATAAAGAATAATTGATAATTGTTTTCAAGGGTTGAAAGTTGCAGAAGGTCATGTGACTGGATTTGACACTTGAGTGAGCTCAGAAAAAGAAGAATTTTCTTCTGCATAAACTGCACTCCAGATGAATGCTGGCTTTGTGCTGCTGTTTGCGGCCTATGAGACCCACACAAAGAATGTCTCTTTCTTAATTACAAAATCTCCCTTTCAAGGCTAAACAGGCTCATAACCGTTAGTCAACCCGCCTGCTCAAACATGTGGAGTGTTTATTACGTCAAACTGAAGGATGTCTAAAGCCACTCAGCATGAATGACCCCCCCCCCCACAGAGGTCAAGGACTTAAGCCTCCACATTCACTCACATTCCAGCCATAACAAGCGTGTTTCTCGAAAGCAGCAGGCAGACGTGGGATGAACACGTAAGAACCACTTAGCACACGGATGTAAAAGTCGTTGCACGGCAACAACAAGGCGGACTCACCTCGCCACAGACGTCCTGAGAGGCGCCGGTCCGCTCCGCACAGTGCACCGCCCGCAGCAGCTCGCCGATCAGGACACCCGTGTGGTTCTTTTGGAGCCGTGGCTTTTCGCCGGTGCCCGGGGGGAGATCCAAAGCCCGGAGAGCCTCCTGCAGGTACTCCGGCTCCCGCCCCCTCACCTCCAGCTGACAGAGAAGCAGCAGCAACGCGGGAGCGCTGCCCCTGAAGTGCATGTTCCCACCAGGGCTGTCCGACTCCCTCGAGCTCCCGGGGAGTCGCTCAGAGGCCCCCGAGGCAACGAGGAGACGAGGGACGCGGACAAGAAGCTTGAGGGAGAAATTTGAGTCGAGGCGAACGGGAGGAGGGAGGCTGAAAGCGCGAGAGAGGCGTTGAGAACTTAGAGGCCCGTCCGATCTGGTGGAGGACAGGAGGCGCTCGATGGGCTCCTTTCAGCCGAACCAGCCCGCCACAGTGCCAATCGGTCAGCCAAAGCCCGGGCCCCTCAGTCCACAACAAAGGGATTAGTGCGAGTGAGAGAGCTCAGGGGGCAGAGAGAAAGAGGGCACGGAGGGGGAGACGGGGGGAGAAACAATTTATATTGAGGAAAACTTGGGAGGAGGGTTATTAGTAAAAAGCTCTTATTAACCTGGAGATCCACATCTGAACAGAAAGTTCCCGCCTCCCACCTCCATGAAAACTCATGTTCAGACGAATATTTCTTTTATTTAATTCAGATTCTAAATGGGGTTTTATTGGCGCGAGTCATTTGCGGAGCATCAGAATGCGGCTCGTCCAAACATTTGAACCAAACACAAAACAGTAAGACGAACATTAGCACAAAGTATTTCTTTTATTATTCTCCATGCTCTCTGAGTCATCTGAGATCAAACACGGCGAGCAAAACATGCAGAGCTTCCTCGCTAAACACCTCCCAACATCCTCCCACGCCGCCCGCCCTGCAGGTCACACCGACCGAGCAGCGATGGGACTAAAGCTGCAGTTACACCTGAGGTAGACGAGAAAAACGCTCACCAGATGAACCGTTCTCCCCCCCCGCCCCTCCAGCCCCCCGGCTCCTCTCCGCCGCCGTAATGGTTGCTTTTCCTCAGGAGACCCAGAGCCGGTTCGGGAAGAACTCTTGGGCATCGGTGGTGCAAATAAAACCCTCGTTGGAGAAGTGGAGTTGAGTAATGTCCTGAGGATTAGCTGCGACTGCCTCAGAGGGCTGCAGTTTCCATGGAGAACGCTGGCTTATTTCAACATGGGGGGGGGGGGGGTGAATTCATTTTGAAATTAGGTGTTACATTTCGACGACATTTAATAATCGGATCAAATGTCTCCTTTTTAGCAGTGATCATGCTGGTGTTGTAAGTACCTTTAACCAGCAATAAGACACAAGAAGGGAAACATGCATTTTTCATCAGTTTGCAATCAAATGTGTATGACACTGTAGAAAAGGTGATTATTGACCTTGTGTGTGAAAAAAGCCACACTGATACATGGATCCTGTCACATTGGTGGGCGTTTCACCAAACAACAACGATTCCCGAAAATTGATTTAAATGCATTTGAGAATCTACAACAGGGAATCTACAATAGGGCTTGGGAATATAAAACGTTACCGTGATTTGCTTTGAAATAGTAACTTGATTTATGTCCATTTCACATTTTAATCGTCATTAAAACAGCTCTGTTTTTGTCTCAACATCAATCTTATTGCAGATCTCTGCAAATTGTGGTTGAAATTTGTTCGCTGGTTTAAAGTCAAGAAAAAAGTGCTAAAAGGACAAAGATTCTGTTTTGTTTTGCATTTTTTTTTAATTAAGAATTTATTTACAAGTTGTAAGGCATAAATAGACTTAGACAGTCTGATAATTGTACTGATAAAACATCTTCACCCGTCGTGATTCCTAACCATTGTCTGCTCTTCAAATGCTCCTCATTATCTAATAAAATTAAAAAATAAACTGTACAGATTTAACACATCACATAATCATGAAGTATTTGTTTTGGATCGTTCACATATTATCTTGTCCCTAGTTCACTAAGTGCAATGTCAGTGCTTGTATGATTTATTATACACTAATTAACAAAATCCTACACTCTTTAAATGGAAAGTATTACAGTGTTTGCTTGAGATTCACTTCCCAGTGAAGTAAACCAAAATGAAGAATAAGCGTAATAATCATTCATCCTCACATCTTCCTACGCCTGTTCATTCTGCTCCATATTGGACACCAAACCCTTGGTGTCTACAAGAGCTCGGATGGGATTGTTGAAGTACAGCTTGTTGTCGAAGGTGCTTTCTCCCAGAACAGTGATGGCCGTCCGTCTGCGGAAGAGCAGGAAGGCACCGATCCCGACCACGGCGATGACAGCCAGCACCACGGCGACGGTGATGCCGGCAGACCCGTGAGAAGCTTCTTTAACCACTTGGGCTGCGGAGGCAAAACATAAAGAAGTACAGTTACGTAACTGGAGTTTGTACCCTTATGTTTGAAATATGATGGTCTGAGAACTTACCAACGGATGGGGGTTTTTCTGTGGGTGCAATAACTGGAAAAAAAGAGAATAAAGGCTCCATGTAAGTGACCGATGGGTCAAGTTAGACCTGTCGTACAACAGTTGGTTCCATTTACCTTTAGCTGTTTTGCAGATGTAAGACTTGTATCTCTCGCAGTTGTGTGTGACCCACCGTCCGTCCTCGGAGTTGATGTACACACATGAACCTTTGTTAGGCATTCCTGATCTCCAGTTGGCATAGTCCACAACATTGTTATCGATCCACATCCACCCGCCTGGAACAGGGAAGCTCGTTACTTTAATCAGAAAACTTCAGCTCATATGCGTCTTCTCACCTAGTCACAGAGCTCAGTGTCCTATGCTTCACAAAAGACGTGTGAATGATGTCCCCATTTGGAGTGAAATAGACAATAAAACATTTTGCGTTTGGGCATCGCAACCCAGTGATTGACTGGTTGCTACCGCAGCCTTGTTTGATGTGGGAAAAATTTTGGTAGCTTTAAAATATGTTATTCACTGTTCGGTTTAACTAAGCTCCACCCTCTTGTATAACTTGTGGTTTTCAAAAAGCCAATTCAGATACTTGGAATCGGGACAGTGCTTAACTTCTTTACACGGAAGAATAATTGCACGACCAGCTCACCTTCGTCGGTCTTGTAGAGGCCGATCCAGAAGGATTTGGCTTCGTCGTGCAGAAGCTGCAGGTTCTGCTGTATGAACAGACTCTCCTGAGGGTCCTCAATACTCACCAGAGAGGCACCTGATGAACAATTGCATGCTGTGAAAATTGTATACGCATACAAACTGTAATTTGTTAGGGAAAATTCTTCTTAACATACCCATTTTCAGACATTCAACTGAGGCATGGCCCCATTTGTTCACCGCTGAGCTCCTGAAAAAATAACAATGGCCTCTGAAGGGTATCCAGGTTATTTGTTTCTTTGGTTCTGGACAGTTTCCGGGCATTTGTGGGGGCTCAGGGGGCGCTACGACTGAGAAAGAGACCGGACAACCGTTTGTTAGCCATTGTTAGCATTTGGCAGTTGTTGTAGTAGTTGTTGTGCAGGATAACTAACAGGATCGGGATGGATGTCTGACCTGGGGACCTCTTGCAAAGGGAATAGTAGTTGTTGGTACATGGTGCAGTCTTCCATGTTTTGTCCACATCTACGTACACACAGCCATAGTTATTTTTAGGCTCATCTGTGCCCCATTTTGCATAAAGTAGGAGCCAGTTATCAATCCACTTGAAACGGCCACCAGTCTGCGAAAAAAACAAAAATCTTATAAAAAAAAAGTTATATTGTTTAAACCAGTGGCGACCAGCAAGAGGTAGAACCTTTTACCTCATTGCTGTTGAGGCCGATCCACACGGGCTCGTTGTGCTTGGAAATGTGCAGGGTGAGGTACGCCTGGTCGACAGGGTTCAGGACACTGGCCAGATCCGCATCGTCTGCCAGGCACTGCCGCCTCGCCTCGTCCCATTTCATCTTCTGGGTCACCAGCTTGTAGGAGTCGTTGCCAAGCTTCTGGAAAGCCTTTGGTAACACAGTCGTGGCTGGGACCTCAATCTGAGAGTCTTTGTAAAAAGGGCACCATGAAAAAAGAAACTTTAAGCTGAAAAAACGGCTTCCAGAATTACCGTAACTCATGTTGATGTGGTTTTGCTCACCAATATTTCTTTTGCAGATGAAGCCGTGTTTGGATTCACAGTCCTCCACCTTCCACAATCCAGTCATTTTGGAGCTGCTTCCCACAGTGATCACACAGTCAAACGTCTGTCAGGCAGAAAGTAAACGTCCATCATGTAGACGTTTCACATTTCTGAAGCCGGGGATGTTCAAAGTTCTTTTGTTATGGCAGAGAAGGTTTTCTAATAAAGAAGCTTAAGTGGAATTAACCTCCATCTCAAATGAATAACCCCCGTCGGGCACTGACGTCGGTTGCCCTTTCGCCCAGTTGGTGTACGAAATCGCTTTGCCGTCCGTCCACACAAAGTGCTTCTCCCAGTTGATGTCGTTCATGCCGATCCAAAGGTTTCCATTGTATCCCAGCATCTGCGTTGTCAGGAATGCTGGAAAAGGAAGACACAACTCATCGATAACCACGACATCTTTTTTTTTTTTAAACGTCCCTTGCTTTGTGTCACAAGAAAAATCACAAAGAAAAACGCTCGCCTTGCTCTCTCTCCTTGGTGATAGAAACCAGATTTCCTCCCTGGTTAATGCAGTACTTCCTGGCATCCTGCCAGCTGTTATTGTCCTCCCCCATGACTATTTTGTAGCACTGCGTAAACAAGATTTGCACAGAGCGTGTTAGTACGACAAAAGCCAGGTGTGAAACACATTTTACCAGAACAGATTCAGGTACGGTTCATCTCCTGAAAGTAAGAGTAGGAGTTCCAATCTAGTTTTGGGAGTAATCTGCGATGTGAGCAGTTATCATATACCTTTCCTTGGAAAGCGAGCCAATCCGGTGCACATCCTCCTTTAGGAACAAGGGTTGGAGCCATTGTTGCGTTGATGAAATTGCTGCTTCTTTTGCAAATGGAAGGATGCTCCATGCCGCAGTTAATGTCATTCCAGCGTCCTATATGTGGGGAGTTTATAGAGAAAAACGAATAAATAATGAAAATAATATCATTACTATTCAGCCTCAGCTTTGATTTCTGAAATCGAGTGATAGACTCACCCGAGCCTCTGTATGTAGTCACGCAGTGTTCGTCATTATTAGCAAAGTTGGGCTCATTATTTTCCCATGAAGTGTATGATACAGGTGTTCCATCCACCCAGCTGAAAATGGAGAGGAAACGATGAATAATGCGTCAGGAATTAGAACGGTTTGTAACAGTTTCAGACAAAAATTTGACGGCTGGCTAAAGGGAGCCAGTAACAGTCTGCCTCAACAATGTGGTGTTATTCACCTGAACGATTTATCCAAATTCACAGTCATGCCGATGAAGTACTGTCCTTTGTCGCCCTTTGCTATCTGTCGGAACATCGTCGTGAGAGAAACATTACATTAAAGTAAAGTCAAAAGGCTTCCGGGGATTTTACCACCATGTTAAAAACATAATACGTTGTTTATTTAGGAAAATGGTGTTAAGAATTTCTTGCCAGTTTCCAGAGGAACTTCCTCTCACTCTCCCCCGTGATGACAGCGAGATCACCAAAGCTCTTCCTACAGACGTCTCTAGCAGATTCCATGTCCAGATCGTCCTCGTTTACCAGATATTGTGTGTCGTTGTATATAAACCAGCCATCCTCGGTGGTGTTGTATACTGTCAAGAGAAGCAAATTGTTATCAGATGTCTTTCAGATGCAAGTCTACAGCCATGCAAACAGTTTGCGCTAAATGCTAACGCTAATGCAAAGTTTTTAATGTTTACCTACATGTTTTCATTCACACTAAACACAAAGTTCAGCTGAGGCTGATGGTAACAGTATTATCTTTCTAAGTATATCGTCATAAATCAATGTCCTAAATGCCCAAAAATGTCAGTAGATCACCATCGTCATGAGGCTTTATACTTTTAAGACCATTATTGCTTGAACAAAGTTTCACTGTAATTTGCTTCATAATTGAAATGACCCACATGGGTGGACCGACTGACATTATACGTAAGGCTGCTAGAATGATTGAAAGGAGGATTG